GGGGGGGAGGGGTGTTCGTATGAGTCAGATCCAAGAACGTTCATCTCTTTCCCCTTCATTCTACCAATGCATCATTGTGTATTTAATGATTTCATCTTCACAAATGTGTTCTATTTAATGAGACATTTGTGCTGACATTGGTAGGAGTTATTAATAACAAGGCAATGTCATGGGCCTGTGGTTCAAATGTTGACCCAGGGAAATTTAGTTATATTCTTGGTATATTATATTTATAAAAGCCCTAGGCTCATGTGATGATTAAAACATGTTTTCACATAGTTTCCATTTTTACAGTCCCTATAATATAATTATTGATGTGACAAATAAAACAATCAGTATATCTTAAGTTGGCTTTTCCAGTGCTTTCCTAGTATTTGGGCTGTAGGGCTTCCTCTTTCCTGTTCCTCTATTATTAATTTTCCCTTTTTTCTTCCTCCTCCCTCTTTATTTGTACCACAGTTTGCCAATATACCGTTTTTGTTTGAAAACGGAATAAACTTAGAGAATAAAATGTGAGCAGAAACAATATTACAATATCCAGGCTTTGTCCTACTCATAAGGATAAATAGAGTAGCAGATATCTTCATAACCTATGACATTGAGCTTAAAATGCCACTAAACTCAGGAGTTAAATCTTAAAAATGCATTCAAGTATCTTAACTATTATCAAAAATGTATGTTATTTGTGTATCTGCAGATTCTCAAATCATCTCTGAATTCATACTGTCACTGTCCTTCCTTCTGGAGGGTGGCTACTTTTGTTCCCCATGGTCCCTGTGTGTGTTGTAAAGTAACCACCGCTCCAAGCTCAGTCCTGTGATGGACTACAATATCAATACAAATTAGTAAAACATGAGATTATTGTCCATCACATGAGCGAGCTTGGATTGGTGGCTTTTTTATAACACACACAGGGACCATGGGGATTCTGTGGTGCTGCTAATGCCTACGCTGAATTTTGCAGGTATTTGCTTAAAGCATCCATTAGCTTGCTTGTGGTGCTTTAACCCTGGAGGTGCTTGCTGAGTGCAGGCTGCTGCCACTTGTAGCTCTGCTACTAAAGCTTTAGCTGGATCCTACAGAAATGTGTTTGCTAAGTCTGTCAGGTTCAATCGTGTGCCTTAACTCTTTTGTTGCCTTTCATGTCAATATTTTTCACCTGTGGTTCCTCAGCGCTGTTAATGTCTTGCTTGCCATTATAAAGTTCCACTTTCAGTCTGTTTATCTGCCCTTTGGCCTCGCCACATTCCAAGGTGATTTTCCAAATATTATATCCAGTTACTGCTTTCTTTGTAACAAGGTTTCAAGTATTCCACTATTTGCAGCGACATCCTGCTGATTGTTCAGCATGCTCATACTCTGGCAGTCCACAGGAACATCTTAAGTTAGGCTCTGATCAAATTTAAAGGGATCACCAAGGGGGAAAACCAAGTGGTCTTAGTGTTTGGTTTGAGGCAGGTCAAGCCTCTATCCTATTCATTGGCGTCCAATTGTCTCAAGTTGACAGGATCAATTTAAATAGTGAAATTAGAGTTATAGGCTGCCTACGGCAGCTTAGTGAATAGACTCCTAAGTCTTCCAACAGGATTCTTCAGACAACAGAGAAAACATTCCCTGTGCCAGGGGATCAGGATGATTCCAAACTGAGGCTGATGAGCCCATTTAAACTGTCATCATCAATGTACCTATCCAGTGATAGTGTTAATAATGGATTCTTATGTGCGAATCACTTGAACAACCTCTTAGTCCAAGGTAAGTGACCATCCATTGGGGAAGAAAGTCTCCAGCATCTTGGAGTTCAGAGAGCCTTTCAGATCCAAGGAGCCTCCGTATTGGTTCAATGAACAACAGTATGATGTTTTTTCTATAGATTTAGTGTCTGCTCATAGATGTAGTAAATGGTTACTGCTGATGGAGGTACCTCCAATCATGAATTCAGCACTGAACGCACCAGAATTTCCTGGCTGACACTATAAGCCACAAAGCCCTGGACAACAATGAATGTTTTCTTATCCAGCAGTTTGCTATGGATCAGCAGCAAGTGGGTTATCCAGATTTCATCCTGATAGTAATCCCAAAGAGCACAGACTGCAGACACACCTTGTCAAGAGGCAGGAGTAGTGGCAGAGGTAGTGGATATTTTAATTCTTATGTGTTGAATTCAGTCCCAACGGTTTCAGGTTCCTAAATAGGACCCACAATTATCCAGGTAGGGTGATAGCAATCATTTGCCTGTGGCCCATATGTCCAGGTTTACCTCTCTTGTAGCCTCTGAACCTGGAATCTTCTAGTCATCCTAAAAATGCAGACCTTCTACAGCAGGTCCAAACACATCCAAAACTATCTTAAATGGCTTGGAGGTTGGATTACTTATCTTCAGTCATTGAGTGTTTGTTGAATGCTAGAGCACCTACTACAGTATATGCCACATGCTCTACAGTGTGGAATAATAAGTTCATAGACTTCACAAGCTCAAAAAGTTTTGTCTCTCTTCACCTTGCCATGACAGATATCTTGGACTTTCTTCAGGCAAGTAATATGCACTTGTGTGTCAGTACCCTCTGTCTGCATCCTCTGAGATACAATGGGCAGTTAATTATTTGATAGCGCAAGAATTCACTCTTCAGGCAAGTCGCTTCTTTTCCCTTAGGATTTACAAATAGTGCTGGATATGTTCTTCCTTCCTCGACTTCGTCTAGGTCAAACTTATTCAGTATGGACAGTAACATGTAAAACCACCTTATTGCTACTGATTCCCAGACAGAGTAATTCTAGATCTCTCTCCCAGCATCATCCAGTAGTTGGAGGATCCTTCTATCTAAATAGCACATCATTGCTGTCAATGTTCCAGAATAAAGTTTTGTTTCAGCTCATGCCCTAAATGTGACTGCTATGCTGAGGAAGTACATTGATGTTACCTTTTCTGCCAGGTCAACCTGTTCATCTTTCTGACAGTATCAGAAAAGGTCTCTCTGCATCCGCTAGGTCACATACATTGTGACTGGTCAAGAAGATGGAGCCACAGATTATTCTCTGGGTTCGCTTTTCCGAAGGATATCATCCTTATGGATAGAATTTAGTGGTGTACCTCCAAAGTTATTCTGGAAGGTAGTAACCTGGTCCATGTTCCTGTCACATTACAAGGTCTATCCAGGAGTGTTGTCCATGATAAATTTGGGTTCTGAATGTGTTTAACAGTTGTAGAAATAAATACGTATATCAGCATTACCCTCCCTGGTTGTGATCGGTATGTCCCATTCCTATGCTGCCATGTTGGAGTCAGGAAAACAGAAAATTGTAAACATTCCTTTCCTGACATCAATACATGGCAGCATATGGGACCCTCCCATGGCTCTCGCATTGAGTACTTGTTACGAGAATGGCTGACCTGGGAGGCATGTTTTAATTTATAGTATAACTGGTCTTGTGATTGGGCGGGGGCGGAGCTATACCCATTCATATGCTACCATCTATTTGCGTCAGGATAGGAAAATTACCAATAAGTAAGTATATTCATTAGAAGGATGTAGAATGATGGCATGGCTGCATTTCAGTAGATTGAAGAGATTCTTTGCATCTTCTGTTATGATCCCAATGTTCCCCTTACAGTTCCAGTTGCTGAACTCAACCACTAGTTTCCATTGTTGGTCAGACAAGGAATATAATGGTGACGTAACAGGAAACATTTCTTGCTTTTCATACTTCAAAACAATTTGAAGGGGTATGTTATGGCATATTTATACGTTGATAAGTGTTACTATATGCAGTATACAGGTAAGGGAAGATAGACATTATGGAGTTGATTTACTAAAGGCAAATCGGCTGTTTACTTTGCAGTGGAAATTTCCCTTGTGCTGTGAAATGTTTTAAAAATTCATTTTGCAAAGAATACCCACTCAAAAATAACAAAATTATTATTTTAAAATCATAACTAATACAATTAAATTATATGCACGCACATATTGGATGATAGAAGAAAAATCCCCTTGCAAAATGAACAGCCTATTTGCCTTTAGTAAAACATCTGTTATAACCAACACCCTGTATGTGCATTTTTTAATGTATTTTTACAGGGAATTTCCAGTGAATGTAAAAAATTGACACTAGCCATGTAATCCAGTTATTTGGTTCATAGCATGATGCAGTCTGCAATGTTCTTGACCCTTTCTTACATCTTGGAGAAACACACATTTGCAGCAGAACAACACTTAATGTATTACTACCACAAGTGGCCCTGAACTTTCTTTAACCACTTCCGGGCCGCAATACGTCTATAGACAGCGGCCCGCAGAAGTGGTTAAAATAAGAACACGGCTGAAGCAGCAGCTGTGTTCTTGGTATCATTTTTAACAGCCGGCGATGGCTGTTAATGTACAAGCATAAAGAGGACCTGTACAACCATAAAGATGAGCTGTCACACCCTATCTGCTTTTATGTAGGGGACTTGTTATCCCCCTATGTGATAGCAACAAAGTTAGTGTTAAAAAAAGAAATAAAGTGTTTACAAATTTAAAAAAATTAACTTAATATATAAGAAATATAAAAAAATGCAAAAACATATTTTTAAGTCCCCCGCCCCCACGTTCACACACATACACACGCAAACACGCGTCGATGCGCCTACGTGCGAAAACGACAATTGCGCTACACATGTTACATATCACTGTGAACGTCGGTGTGAGAGCAATAAGTCTAGAGCCATTAATCACTGTTAGCACTAAATTGATGAGCGGTAAAAGTGTTTAAAGTTGTACCTGTGGGAATTTTGGGGCATTTAAGTTTTTTGCGGCTTCACGGGCGATGCAATTTTAAGGCTTGACATGTTTGGTATCTATTTACCCGGCGTGACCCTGTCTTTCATATTTTACCAAAAAATTGGGTATTATGTTATGTTTCTGTGCACTAAATTTTAATTGAGTGTATTTTATCCTAAAAATACTGGTTTAATAAACATTTGCGCAAATATCGCGAGCCATAAAAAATTGCAGCTAGCATTTTTTTATTCTACAGTGCCTCTGCTTTCAGAACATGTATCAATGTTTGGGCGTTTGAAGCTTTTTTCTAGCCAAAAATGTATATTTTATCATGTGTGCGCAAATAGTAAGAAAATGCTCCGGTCAGCAAGTGGTTAAGCCTTTGCCAATGTATATTGGATGAGTTTACTGAAAGACGGTCAATGGTTTTATAGATTAAGAGTTTGCAGCATAAAAAAAATGTTACAGCTTGCAGCAAATAACCTTGCCTCTTTAAAACAAAGTAATATTTCATACCTTAGAATTAAAAATCAAAACATTTAAGCTGATCTCAAGTTTAATCAATCTCTGCACATATTCATCAATATTTGCTAAAACCCCCTTCCCTTTACCTGCCATAAAAGTGTCTGAACATCTATTGTTTCTCTTCATTGTAGCCTTAAAGGTGGATAAACCTCTGTTTTAGCCATTGCTTGAACTGCCTGTTGCCATACATAAGCTCAGTAGTAATAATGCTATTGACCACATGGTGGTACCCTTTAATCACTTCTCTTTTGACGTAAGCACTGCAGACATTCCAGAAATTGTGTTAAACTTAAGCCTTGTTTAAAAACTTAATCCGTGCTGCTGTTAGCGTATATATCGAATAACCACTAGTTTACCAGATTAGATAATTCATCAAATGTATTATTTTAAAATATTTAAAAAATGTAATTTGATTGCATAGGTAAATAAGTAAAATCACCCAGACAGGTCTTTTAATGTAGCCTGTTAATAATATTGTAGTGAAAATATGAACTGTACATACAACCTCAAAGTGTAGTTTATGTTGTTCCAATGCCTGAAATAGAATATTGAAGAATATTGATAAGTGAGAACAAAGAACAATAATGACAATATGCAGTGTGGTAAGTCTTAGCATGCCCATATTAATTTTCACCATTCAGTACATCACAGCCACCATGAAAAATGAATGAAATATGGTTGCTATGAGTTACTGCACTTTGCACTTATTGAAAAATCCTGTATGAGCTATAAGAACAGATTGAATTGCTCATCATATTCTGCATTCTTGTAAATGTCTTTGCTAGTATTATTTACGCCGGAACAGTATGTTCGAAGCATATTGTCTAGGGAGGATCTTGGTGGTCTACCTACGTAACTGTGGTGTTCGTACGTCATTTTCTGTAAATGAAGAGGGAAAAAAAGGAATAGACAGGAAAAAGCAATATTTAATGTCTAAAATGCCTAATGGGGGATTTCCCCAAAGAGTCCCATGCAAAATCAACAGTTAATCTATTATTCCCCTGTTATCCAGCTATGTGCCTAAATAAAAAATCACTGACATTAAATAGTATTTTATTGTATATCGTGTCTTTTAAGCAATGCTACGTTTTATTGTATTAAACACAAAGCTTTCTTTATAACAAGTAAACAATTCCAAGAGTGGATAAAAAGAGTATTTTTTCATCTGTACAGATGGTTTGATCATGTCTTAGAAATTATTCAGATCACAGTGCTTTTAACCAGAAGCTATTCCTTTTCAGCACTACCACCACACGAACAGCTCCTTTAATTAAACCCACTGAGATTTTCAAGCCATAAGTGAAATCTGTCAATTATTATCTCATTTAAAAAAAATTAAGCATTTAAGGAAACTCTGGAGATCCTTATACTGCTTTAGCAGATCTGTGATTTTCACTTAATTGTTCCTGCGTGTTCTCGTATGTATTTGAAGCACACACATATAACTCCAGCTGTAGTATACAATAATGTAATTAATCACTTCAGAAACATCTCCTACAACCTTCAATGCTTTTCTGAATTTCACTTTTTTTTTGTAATGTACAATGAAAACTGCATTCTTCTGTCACCTGTGCTGTCAGAAATAATTAACTGCTAAATTTTGGCAAAGAAGAAAAAAAAAACCCACAAATGTGGCTGAAATAAAGGTAATCTGTATGTCAGAATATTTATAAGAAAACTTGACTGTGATCGGATCATCTGTGAGGAAAGATGAGAATTGCTATTATGTTCCTAGAGGAATTGGCCTGATGACGTCTTTTCTGATACCGGATCATTACGTGACTTACACTCTGAAAAAAAGGGAAGCTGTTTGATCCATGGATAAAAATGCGAGCGCCACCGAATCACGAACAATAGCTGGTATTTAAAGGTAATATGCAGACAAACGTTGACAAAGCAGGCTCTTCCTAAAGTGAAGTTTGCAGCAAATATCTTTTCTTGGTGCCTGTGTGTGTATATATATATAAATATATGTATATACATACAAGAACGGAGGGCTGGTCAACTTGAATTGCAGCACAAGAAGGAGAAGAAGAAAGCATCTAGAGAAACGCCTCAGGAGAAGTATCTTAGAGAAGATCTGATCTCATTGTTAGCATCTCAGTCCAAGACTCATAACAGGCTGCACCAGGCTCTCCTGCCTCCCTGGCTTACTGCTTTTATATCTCACTCGTATTTATTTACCAACAGCAACAGATTCTTGTTTTTGTGTTTCTTTCAGTTACTTTTCCAGCTAGGGAGGTTGCATTTTATCCTTGATTTTGCTGTTCCTCTGCTCTTTTTCTTTACTTATCTGGAATTGAGCTTTGTTTTTTCCCTTGGAACTGTTGCTTGATTCAAACTTTTAATCAGAATAGCAGTCAGTCTTCATGTCCTCCTAACCTGTCAGACAAGGCAATGCAGACCACATTCTAAGACCCTACGGAAACTTGAAACACTTGGCTTTAACTTGGAACCCAATTCATCACGTTTTGTTTTTCTGTAACACAGTGGAATTTTTCTTTTATATGGTAAGAATCGTGCATGCTTTCAAATATTTATTACTTGGATAGAATCAGCAATTTGATAAAGATTTTTTAATAACCATAAGATATGTTAATCAGAGAATTGTGTATATTAGGTAAATATTATGCTTGCCCTATTTGAATATGCATTGATCTAATTGAGGTTAAATTGCACATCGATCTGAGTTAATGAGAAGAGCTTGTTGAAAGTGTTTCCTCCACTTCTCTCACCCACAGAATGACAATGTGCAGGAAAGCACTGCTTGTCTGGCTATTGGTGTACGGAATAATGCACTGCACTGTCCACTCCTCACCTACGGCACTCAAGTACCCAGCACTTAGGTATGTATAAGACTAGAGGCAATAACGGTCATGAAAAACCTGCAATTATCTGAACAACCATATTTGTGTAGGTCTAAGGTAGGTCTTAGGTGCACACAATCTCTACTGCTTTAGTGAATTGACAAGCTGAGTTTTCTATTATTTTTCCTACTCTGCACAATGTATGGCAGTTTCTAAATTACTACAGTGAAGCCTCTGTATAGGTGTGAGATAGTGTAAGACAGTAGCTTGCAGTTAACCCCTTGTTCACTGTTTCCTCATTTGCAGCCCGTTAATTTAACTGTTTTGCAAATGAGACTGAATGAGATTTCGACATGGGGGTATCCACATGCTGCTAAGCAATTAAAACATCAAGTGAAATTGATCTGTTAGTTTTCAGTCCTCAATTAGATAGCAGTCTAAACTGTTCTAAAAATCCTATTCTTAGTTCTCATGCATATCCCTACATTGTATACGTGTGTTGTGTTATTTATACAATAGAACCCTACACAAATCTTAACGCTCTAGCTCTTATATATGTATAATACAGGATTTTACATTTTGGCAGGAGTTGTGATATCTGCATGTAATATCAGTGATCATACCTCTTTAAAAGACAAACTACAGGAGCCGGGAAAGCTCCCAGTGCTTCCTCCATCTCGTACTTGCTAGCTCTGCCCGATACAGAAAGCTGCAGTGCTGCTATTGTGCTGTAGGAATTAATCAGATGACAGCATGTTTAGAATATATTGACGTTGCCAGTAAAACAGTTGTCCTGATCAGTTAAATGTTCATGTATTTTCTTTCTCCTGGATCTGAATTAACTTGCTCTAGATTCAGAACAATATGATAAGTTCATGGTCTTGACACTGCAATGTATTTATTATACAAACAGTATTGTACAGATTATTCACCCCAATGTTTACATTGAATTTGGCCAATAGTATATAATGAAAAATTTAATACTCCAGATACCAAAGGCACCTCAAGTATCACCAATGTTATAAATGGGACTGTGTTACGAATGAATGAAAGGATTCAGCTGGTCTTAGTGCTGATCAGCATGGTTAGATATAGTAATACACATTGCAACTTATATCCTAGTAGACATATAGAATTGTAGGCTCTTAAATTAAACTGTTCCTTATGGCACACATAGGTTTAAAAAAAGCTACATATCTTTCTATAAATAGCATCAGTTTTAGCAGAAAATTACTTTATTAAAAATTATTTTTCTTCTTTTCCTTTCCATGAGGGAGAAAATATAACTTAATTGTTGCTTTTGTTTAAATAATCACCGTTTTTATTGCTTTTGTCAGTCATGGCTTTAGTTTTCCTTTGATTTATCCCACAATCCAATTAATATACTTATAAATAATTCATTGTTTGCTCTTGAAATTGCTCACACCTTTCGACAAAAAAATTTTGACATTTTACAATACAAAACAATATTTATACACTGTAGTTTTCTCATTGTTGTGCAGCTCTACATGAGAATTGTGCTTGAAAAGAATTTCTATACTTGTTGCTGGTGCATGACTCCTATCATCCATTTAGAGAGAATTATGGAAGTTGCAGTTTAAGAAGAGGCAAGAGGCCAAAACACAGTCTATGTTTGTTATGGTTAATGAGAGCAGTAATCATAGCTTGTTTGGGTGTGTATCATGTTCTCCCTCTTTGGCTATGTTAATTTATATAATTCCCAAGATCATTTGTCTATGGTGCTGAGAATCTGACACAGCTAAACTGTGATCCAGATTTAGCAAGAGTAAAACACTTTCGAAACATCTATTATTAATAACGCTGCCAGAGCAAACTGACAAAAATAGCTAACGGTGACCTACATCCCAACTGATACAAAGTAAAAAAAAAATCTTGAGGAGGATCTTGGCATGAAAGCAAACGAACCCGTCAAAGTCAGGACCCAGTCTGTCCAAATATACCCCTCCTACTGTAGGGAGAAGCTAGGTAATGATACTGCTAAGTATTTTCAGTGCTTGGTGGCCAATGCTTAGTGCTCAAATCTCCCCCCTTCCTCTCCTCCACCTCCTCCCTGCTCCCAGTTCCCTGTACTAATGATTGTAGGATTTGGCAGCTAGCTCTGGCCCAGCCCCAACCTCAGGTCAGCTCACAGATGGGCTGCTCTTGTTATTTCTCTCACGCCCACCTACAGATTGATAGGGTCTCAGGGGGTCTTTTTCCATCAGCGTCTGGCATCTCATCATTGAACAATATTCAAAGAAAAAAGACCAGTAATGTAGACACTAGAAATGAACCTTTGCCAGGGATTACATTGCTCTGAAAGCCACTGATCAAGTCATTATGCATTTTTTGATTAATTAAGAGGCTTACAATTCATTCTGCTTTCTCTTTTTTTTTTCTTTGCTCATAAGGCTTGAAGATGAAGTATATGATGAGGACGGCAACACTCTACCAGACTTTGCGTTTGATAACAATCCGATTGGCATCGGAAATCCAGCCTCGGTCTTTGACGATATGTACTCGTTTTATTACCCAGCGGAAAAAAGGTGAATTACGATTTTTTTCCCTAAAAAAACCTAAAGCATAGTTAAACTGATTTGTTTTATAGATGCAAATAACTGAATACAATCTGCAAACACAATAATGCTGTTTCTGTCTCATGAGAGACCATACTGAAAGTTCTGCAATGCATCCAAATTATTTAGCAGGAGAAGTATATTCAAAGAGAGAAATGGAAATTTATGGAAATGAAAAACAAGCAGTGCTAATCAGGTGGCATCTTGCAATTAAGTAGTATTCTGGGAAATAACAAAACTATATGTGTATATTAATGCAAGAGAACATTGTGATATAGTGATGAGAGATGGAGGGGAGGGATGTTTCAGGCAGAACATGTGAATGAGAGTAAAACATGACCCTGTGACAAGTCAGCCTAGGGATAATCAGGAAGCTATAATGGGCAGCTACACCCACCCCTCCCTGTACACACACACATACACACATTCCATTGAGAAATGCTTCTTTCTTGAAAACAACACATGTTGATGTCAGATTTCCAGGAATCATCTTTCCTTTTTTATTTTTTTTTCTTTACTGTTAGACATGCTGATGATCTATTAAACAAAGCCTATAGGAATTTACTGGGGCAATTGTCTGCGAGGAAATACCTGCATACTCTGATGGCCAAACGCTTAGGGTAAGGTTGTGCTCTTAAAACGTAGAATGTATCAAGATCCTGAAAAAAAAGCCACAAACATGACTCTAGGATAACACTTTAGGCCTATTTAATAAACTAGTGAAGAGGCACAAAGGGCAGTAACCCATAGCAACCAATCAGAATTCCATACTGATTCGTTGCACTTTTTGTCCTATTAAATAAAGACCACTGTGACTACTATTTAGGACAAAAAGATCTGCTTGCTAAAGGGAATCCTAACCAGTATGTGCTGGAAAGCATCACCCAGCATCCATTTCTAATTTATGGAGTTTAAATGTCACGATATTTATTTTTATCATCTGCTTCCATTCAGTAAGACTTCACAGCTTCACCCCAGAAATTCAATTATAGTAGTCTGTATTATTTATTCCACTTGGCTCTGCATTTAAATTCCTGGCGGTTGGATCACTACCCTTTTATTGTCCAATATGTCAGCATTCTGCCGATGGAATAAGCAGCACGTTGTGTACCTTTCTGCAGCATAGATTTCTGGGTTGGGTAACATTTTAATAACACTCAGGGGAAGGCCATGCTTCATACTTATGAATAATTCATGTGATGAATATATTGTCTCAAAACTGTCATCTTAAATTATCCAACCTTTTCGTCACCCTATGTGGATTCCTTTTAGTTAGTAAAACCTGTGACTTCATGTGTAGGAGCTGTTACATGCGTTGATTTTGTTAATTTCTCCCTTAAATTACCAATGGATGCAGTGCAAACTAAGAGTCTAATTTAAAAATCTCCACAGAAAAAGAAACACACACGAAAAAAATAAAATGGCAACAGAGTAGGAATGCAGTTGCTTTTAAAATGGCGATTTGTATTGATAACTATTTAGGGCCTCCATATTTAACTGGCTAATGACGCACATGTCAGGAAAGCTATTACAAATGCAGGAGGGCTGGGCTCATGTGTAGCACATCTGTGAAGTTTGCAGAGAAGCCATTCCTCTTGTAGAAGGCTTGCCTGACAATGTCACTCGCCTGTTTGGCTTTAGGTATGATATATCTATGTTTTCCTTAACAGCAATGACTCACTGCTTAGTTAACTGCAAAATAACAATGTCTGCCATTCAGGAGACACTAAGAGGCCATCCCAGACCTTGTCCCAATCACTACTTCCATGTGCTGCCACACATTTCACAAGATGAGCATAACTCTTTTCATGCTGTTGACAGCGATTCTCTAGAGGCAATTATGGTAGCAAAAGGCAGGACAGCCCTGTAGTGATTGGTAATGAGACAGAGGCCTTTGGGAATTGTCTAACATGAGGATCAAGGCACAAGGTTGCCTAATGGAGCCTGGGTAGACACCGTGGCAGATGTTTGTACCCTTTGTTCAGGATTTACACAGCAATAATTGGCTTTGGCATTAAGATATTTTTCTTGTTTTTTGCCTCCTGAAAGTGATAAGACTTAATTATAAAAAAAGCATACTGCTGATGTTGTGACACAAGAATATAACGCTGTACATTTATGCATTCTGGTGCCAGAGGTGATAAAATAGAATCCTTTTATAATAATTTATGGCCTCTGTGTTCCAAGGCGAGACGGTTCATTGTCAGATGCATCTGTTTTAGGCCAAAATAAATCAGCTTTGGGGGGGATAAATCACATCCTAAACATGATGTATGCAGCAAATTACTTAACAAACCTAGTTTTCTTGCTCATGTTTAGGCATGAATGAACTGCTAACAAATAACAGACAATAGGGTTGATTTACTAAAGACAAATAGGCTGTTTACTTTTCATCATACAATTCCCTTTTTCAAAAAAGGGAATTGTATGATGCCAAGGAATTTGCCCTTAGCTTAGTGAGAGTGGTGAAAATTCACTTTGCAAAGAATATCCAATTACGTGCAAGCAAATGAAAAAAATAATATACTGTATTTTTTCTTGCACCTCATTTACTATGCTAACGGAAAATTCCCTTGAAAAGTAAACAGCCTTTTTTGCCTTTAGTAAATCCACCCCAATATCTCAAACAAAGAGCATAAAAAACATTTATCATCTTCAATACAAGATAGGGTATTTAGATATTTTAGTATATGTAAAACATTTCATAGTACAAAACCAGTCTGCCCAAGTCTGCCCAGTGAAATATACAGTGAATGTTACAGTAATTACGTACTTGGTATACTAAGGCACAGATTTTCTGGGAGGGTTGGCAGACAGGTGACAGCTGTAGACATATTAAAAAAAGGTTTGAGGGCAAGCATCCTGCACCTTGTTAATACATTGGAATTAATCTAGCAACCATGGGATATGCACCTGAGCTCAATAAGCAAAAAGTTAATATTGCTTAAGATAAAGTCACATCAAGGGGTATATATTTAGCTTTGAATGTGACATTCACTGCAGGTTAATTTTTCTGGTATATATGTTTTTGATTACAAGGATTTATTCACCTTCAGTGAATAGGGTGAATGCCACATTCACTGCTTTATAAACATGTCCCTTAGTATTGTTATTAAATTCTGCTTTTGTTTAATGTTATGTGACACATAAAAAAATAACAGAAAATAAACTCATAAAGATTGTTTATTTCATATACCTAATTGATAGCTACTTTTCAGCTGCCAGTAACCTATCAGCTTTGTTCATGTTATCAAATCAAGTGTAATGTCTGACTACCTACATGGGTTAATGCATAGATTGCAACATAGTACACATTAGTAAATTAGTTCAAATGACCTTAGCAACTCTTTAAATCTATAGAAAATAACATTTTAGTTCATCTAGACTTACAAAGCTTCATGTAGAGGTCACTTTTGCGAACTCTGGTAGCAGAGTGGCATTTAGAACTCTTAACTGACACCACTGTGGGTAATGTTAGATAAATGTGTTAGTGTTCACTACCTCTGTGGTCTCGATTTTTATTTATGAAAGTTCCTCTGGGATAAAAAAAATCACCGACAGGCCAAAGTGCCAAATTATACCAATAATTTTAAGCTTCCACTCTTCATCTCTCATTTTTCAAGAGAATGTTTGAATCTGATTAGTTTATTTGAGGCAATGGATTGTCTAAGACAACTGTTGATAAATAAGCTTGATATGTATCCATGTCTTAGGCTTTTAATGTTGTAATTCCCTGTTGTAAAAGACTAATGCTAATCCACTCAGTCATCCTACAGCCTTTCCTACATTTTGGGACACCCTTAGAGCCTTGAATAGTTGAGCTGGTAGTGTTAACTACAGTGCAGATAGAGTTGGTTGCAGGAGGACTAGTGGCTTTGTAAGATTTTGTATCACATGCATCTACTTCATGTCATCCCAAAAACAGTTGAGTTGTGTTTTTAAAGTACTTGGCAGTCCATGAACTTTGCAGTTTTAGGAGTGCATGGTATGACATGTTCCATATGTAGGCCTTAGTATATTCAGTATAGAGTTAATGTGGGCAGATACAGCTGGTTGGATGCAGTGTAGAGAGATATTACTGTAGTTTGCAACTCTTGCTTTTTGCCATTGCAGTGCAGTGAGTAGCAGCCTGGAAGATGACTCGGAACCCCTATCAAAACGACATTCAGATGGCATCTTCACTGACAGCTACAGCCGCTACAGAAAACAAATGGCTGTCAAGAAATACTTGGCAGCAGTCCTGGGGAAAAGGTATAAACAAAGAATTAAAAATAAAGGACGACGAGTAGCATACTTGTAGCGATGAGCAACCAGCCACCCTGTGTGTACAGCCCCAACAAAATGAAAAAAACAAAACAAAAAAAGTCATCTCCAAACTGACTGAACAATCATCGCTCCTGTGTTATCTACAAACATGTATTTATGTATGAAGTAAAGCCATTAAATGAATATTTTGATAATAATATTGTTTTTCTTTTGTATAAAAGCACTAAATTCTCACCTGCTGTTTATGTTTTTTATAGAAAAAGAAATAGAGAAAAAAAGACAATCATTGTTTTGAATATTTTGCTCCTATTTTTGTAACTTGAAATTAAATGGATAGTATTTTTATCCACAACAGGGTTGAGAATGTTAATTTTAACCTTTTGCTGATGGTCAGATGTTGATGACCTAGTGAACCTAGTACAAGGGTTTATAAGGATTTGGGAGAATCACTGAAAGAGACTGGAGATTCTACCCTTCGTGAGTCCTAGCACAGACCCTTATAAGCTTTCTAGGGCACTGTTCCTCTGCTTAAATTAACCAAATGTGGTGCTGTCTTTAATTTCACATTTTTATGTATTTATGTCTCCTAAATAGTCCCCTAATAACCCAACAGCTCTACCAAATTTATGGACTCCTTTTGAAATACTTTTTTTAATGGAGTTCCAAACCCCAATGAAATTGTCAATATTCTTACTGATTGGATTGGGCCACATAGCAAAGAAATCCTGGCAACATGTACCTGATGGTTCAGTGACAGCGAGCTGTAACCTATAAAGTTGAAGCAAATGAGATAATGTGGTGTTGTCGATTAGCAAATAAACCAGTGTAACCTCAGATGTGACTGGTTGGTTTGGACAACTCCTCTGTAATGAAAGGCTAATATGAAAGCTGGAAATAGGTACAGCGCAGTCTAAAGGAACTGCCCAAAATGAAGTACACGGTTGTGGACCTGTCAACAGAGTTGGGAAGTAATGAACAAACTACTTTTTGAATGGGTCCATTACCTCACTGACAATGGGCAGCTTGGTATTGGAACGTGATACAAAGTATAATGTGTTTCTCTCCAGTGCTGTCCATGCTTCTCATCCTGTGAATCTACCAAAATATTTCTTCAGCTCTAACTTAGATTTCTTTCTTTTGCTGTCTTTTGTGGGGTTTTGCCTCTTTCACCCCTCTCTTTCACCATTTTAGTACTGTCATCCCTTGACTCATTTATTTCAAATATTGTGACAAAAAAGTGTTATGTTTATGCAAATTCTTGTAAAGATAGGATCCCCTGTTGTAGCTACTACTAAATAATTATGCACTACTACTAAAGTTTTGTTCCTTGTTTTTTGAGTCTTTAAAAGGTAAAATGTATTTTTCTACATTATGGCTTATTGCTTAGTAAAAGTTATTTCATAAAACCACATTTTGTCGTATATATATATATATATATATATAGATATATATTGATATATATATATATATAGATATATATCTATATATATATATCTATATCTATATATATAAACATGTAGTATTCACAAGCATTTTCGGTTTTAAAAAACACAAAAAAACTGAGGTCTAAAGCGACATGCTTTGTATCATTCCCATCATGATCATGCTTTTGTCGATATACATGCCTAGAGAGTGTAAATACTTTTTTTCTTTTGACTTAAAATGACATAAAGAGAAAACTTCATCTGAGTCACCAATGTCTAAATGAAGAACAGGAACACTAGAGAAAGTGTAACAAATCTTTCAGCTTTTTCTTCCTTCGAGTCTGATCAGAAGATGATGAAACAAAGGAGCTAGACTTGAGTTCCCCCATAGTGGCTCAGCACTGCCAGCTGATCCTATTGCCAGCAGTAGAATTGCACATGGGAATTCATTCTGCACCCAAGTCCTGTGCATGACATCAGTCTTTCATTTTGCATTCTCCTCAAGCAATGTGACGCAGGATGCAGTTTGCAGCTTTCGTGCCTTTCCTCGCCTTTTAAATCGCCACGAATCACAGATGGCTTTTTAGTGGCCCTACAATGCTGCAACACATCAGCTTGTATTGTAGATTCTCACCTGTGTTTGTTATTAGTAGACAGGGTTATATTGTGTGTTAGCTGTAGAATTGACATAGGGTTTAATTTGCTTTCCTAGTCGAGTAGAGTAGTTACTGCATCATCTATTTAGTATTCAAACCTTTGTATGATTTACAGCAAAGCCAACAGCCTTACTAAATGAATTGGATCTAATATAGTATGATCTGCATAGATGTAAGTCTATTTTGTGTGCAACAGAATTATTAATATCAAAGTGAATTTATGACACACCTATCTAGAACTAAAAAATGATTAATGCTATATCAAGTGTGCAAAGCTTGTGTTAATAAATTTTTGTAATCAATGCAATTTTGTCTACTGTTTGAAAGGTAATTTAAATGAAATGACATTTGTGCATTGACTAAAAGCTTTAGCTCAATTTATTCTATATGTTTACATTTATTTAATTCATTTGGTCTTAAAAGGCGGAACTATATTGGATATATGTTTATATGTACACAAAATCGATTGCAGTTTTTTTGTATTTGTTAAGACTAATATGTTTTTTGGATATTGTAAATATAGTAATTAATACAAATTAGATCTGTTCAAATACATTATGCCAAAGCAATCATTAAATATACAGTTGATTATCTTGATTTGAAGATTTGCCCTGGTTCCCCAGTGCCTTTCCTAAGTTAAGTTTCTGTACTGTTAACGAGCATAACATCAATACTGTTTTAAAGTAAGAAAACTAGGATTTATTTAACATCTTATCTTGATTTTAGCATTACATTGACTCATGCTAAACCAAATAACAAGTGTCATGTCGGTGTATATGGAAATATGTTTTTTTTCTTTTCCTAAACATAAAAAAGATCAGTGGAAAGCATATTCCCAAAGATTATAAAAGTTCCATCTTAAGTGTTCAACATGAGTATTTACCGCACTGACAGTCAAGTATCTGATGATGGAAGTAGAGTGACGTAGACTATGAATCTCTTCTGGAAGAAGACTGATGCGAGTGCATATTATAGGCGAGTGATGCTGGAAATATTAGATTCCATTTTTAGACTCCGTAGTCTACTGGGAAAAACACAAGCCTGTCTGAGTAATCCATGTGGGTTTAATGGATGGCAGACTACATGGACAATGATACTTTCTTATCTCTATCTTCTGGAAAGTAATCTTTCTTCAAACCAGCCAAATTACAGAGTAAACCCTCATTACCATGTTAAATAACATTATAGGTTTCTTTACTAATGAAAAAACAATCCTCTACTTCAAAGAACACATTAGTTGTGCAATATGGTGTGTACTAAATCAGTTTTAAACACTGCAGTTTAACAAGCATTTATTGTAAATCATGATAAAGAAAGGTAAACTCTTTTCTACTGGCAGTAAACTTCCACAACTAACCCTTGTCACCCCGTTTTCCAGCATTTTAGTGCTGTGTTAAAAGAATGTGAAACTGCATGCAAATTTAATTATGTGATTTGAATCATTATAGCCGATGGTAATGAACTCACCTCTGTGTTTTCTGCAGTTCAAGTGCCACTGACTATAAAGCCAAAAGCTTTGTTTTATATGCAGTTTCAACAAAGATGCACAAGTATGAACAGGGTCGTATGTGGATAAAACCTCAATATAGGGGATTAAAATGGACCAACACCAAGTCTGGCACTTAGTAAATAGGTGTATATTTAGCATATAATTCCAGAATAAACACAGCAGAGCACTTTCTCACATGTGACCATGGCTGCGTAGGAAGGGCCCTTCTACAGAAACACCCTAAAATGGATGACAAAGAAAGCCTGTGCAAAAAAGCAGCTAAGGAATGCCTACTGTTAGTACATCATCATATCAATCACAGATGGCTTGTTTTAAACTGTTTAGGTGTTGCTTGAGTCTAGGTCCACTTTGAAATTAAAAAAAAATCAATAATCTGATCAGTTTCATCTGTTAAATGTAACTTAGTTTTCACTTTTTACTGCTTCGAATTCAAGTCTATCAATACATGGTACAAGCCAATTAATTAGCCACAAGACATACACATGTTTTCTCTTTTACTTTAGGTTTTTGACTTGGGCAAAGAAACAATAGAAAGAGAAAAGCTTAGGTCAAAGTGGCATGCCCAACACTTACTAAATGGGATATTGTATAACTAGAAATATTGCCCACAATTATGAACTTTGGTTCAAGAAATGTCATGAATTACATAACCAGATATAATAACTGGAACCATCAAATGATATAATTTGCAAATATAAACATTTATTTTTATTTGAATATATAAATAAGTATGTAACTACTATTTTAATTATCCTATACTTCAAATTCAACAATTGTCATACGTTTCTAAAGCACATCCAATTTAAGATTCTAAAATGAAACATTAAAACGCATACAGGGAGCATAGTTCACATGCTGAGTAGTTCATAAATTAATCAGACCTTATTGTACTGACCTGTGCACTCACTACTTTTGGTCTTAAATCTGGTGATCCTGGACTGTACTAGCTGTTGCTTCTGGAATGCTCACTGACTGCACCTTGCTGCCTCTCTCTCTCAGACACACACACACACACACACACACACACACACACACACACAGAGAGCCTGATGTATAACATTGCAGGAACTTTCACCAGTCTGCTCTGTGTTAGCTGTGCTGCCAGTAAGTATAATGTAATGGAGAGATGGGCACAGACAAACACCCTTTTCAGGGTATTAGGCACTAGACTGCATATATATTCCTCTTTAGGGAAAATGGTGTTAATTGGCTATATATTGTGATGTCACTAGATTGTCATTTTTAAAGTGCGTTGTAGAAGAAGTTCCTCACAGCTACTAATCAGAATCAAACCTGCCTTGAAAAGAAAGGGAATTGCATGTCACAGGCTTTGGAAAGTGCACTCCAAATGAACTCCTCCTTGGCCTGTTAGATAACCTGTGAGCTCTGGCTGCAGGATTATAGAAATGCAATGTTTACTAGTCAGCATTAGCAGCTCACTGCTTGTTTTCGTCTGTTGCTTGGGACTCTACAGTAGTAATTCGTTTCTTGCAACCACCAATCAAAAATAAACCTGTCCTAGAAGTTTGAAGCTGATTGGGCACTGAAGGTAGCAAAGAGAGAGGACGTTACACAACACCACACTCCTACAGCCCTCCTTCTGAGGTGTGTGCTTATTTTCCAGGGAATGTGAAAGAACTCAGACTATGGTATATGAAATGACTTAAACATACTCCCTGGATTTGGTAGATAGCAATAGTAGTTGAAGGAATGCTTTACCTGTTGACTGGCATTTCTGGGAGTTTTTTTAAGACAATTGTGCCAATATAGTAAATACATTCATTTTGTGAACCACTTTACAGGCTAGGCATTTTGTATCCAGCAATTTGTCTTATTATTAATCTGTTTATTCTGCTGTACTCTCTTCATTTAGCAGGGTTTTGTCCTGTATTAAAAAGGGGATGTATTGCAGGGACAAGTCTATAATTTTGCCACTTTATAGATCATTGGTTCGACCTCATCTGGAGTACGCGGTCCAGTTCTGGTCACCAGTACTAAGAAAAGATGTCCTTGAGTTGGAAAAAGTCCAGCGGAGAGCAACCAAACTAATTAGGGGTATGGAGGACCAGAGCTACGAGACAAGGCTACTAAATTTAAACATGTTCACATTGGAGGTGAGGAGATTAAGGGGGGATATGATCTCCATGTACAAAATGTTCAATGGTGGTAGCAACATTAGCGATAAACTGTTTAAAATTAACTCCATTACAAA